GCCGTTTTGAGATGCCAACTAGTTAGATATGTTTTTTTCGTTCAACAAGAGGAAAGTGATCCATTTAGACGTGCATGCCTAACCAAAGAACGTGGTTGTTGATGTATTGAATATTTCAGTAATTAATGTAAGCCAAGTTAATTAAATAATATAATTCAAGTTAGTCAAATTTTGTTCGAGTTAGTGTTCCATAAGAGAAGCCACTTCACTTTGAGANAGTTAGTGTTCCATAAGAGAAGCCACTTCACTTTGAGATGAGACTTCTTTCTTCAAATTTTCAATCTCTGCTAAAGCGGAAGCGAGCTTCGTAGCCTCCTTAGCCTGTTACTTCTTGGCAACCTCAGCGTTGGCCTTGGCTTTCTTGGCCTTTTCCTTGGCTTGGGACGCATTTTTCAAAAACTCCTTATTTTTCTTCCGAACCTTTTTAAAGAGGACTTTAGCCTCTATGGCAATCCCAAACGCTTCCCTATCTGGCTTACCATGGTGGCAAGCATGTCTGCCGCATCGCTGGTCTTCATGAAAGTCTGCCACCAATCCGTCTAATATTTGTGAAATGTGGTAGCAACAGTTTGAGTTTTTGGATGAAGCATGGACTGAGCCTCTGGAGCCAGTTCGTCACTCCTCTTCGACAAGGAGAATTTGGTTCGAAGGGCTGCATTAGAGGCAGTCGTTGTGTCGCTTGAGGTCCTTCCCCTCTTTGGCAGCTTTTGCCTTAGAGGATCTACAACAGTTGACCTCTTTTGCCCCCTAGCCGCAGCAATAGAGGCTGCCATGAGTTTCTCCTCAAGCCGAACTTCTAAAAAAACGGCTTGGAGGTGATCAAATGGTCAAACTCTCGTGAAGATAGATGATGAAGGTAGATATCCTCTATAATAACCAATTCTATTTTGATCAACTCGAAGCGATCCACCAATCCTGCAACAATATAAAAAGGTTAGAGTTAATTCAAAACTAAAGAACAAAAATCTAAGAAATCAAACACTAACTAGCTTTGGAATAGTTTGTTGGCAATGTCACATAGGGGACCTTGTCACCCTCACACATCTGACACTGCCCCCGTCACCCAGAATCAGGTCTCCTTCCATCCTTTAATAGAAGAGAGAAGGCCTATGAAAAATGGGGAGTGTGCCCTCCATGGACACGAAGTACGAATTCTTGGAGTCTCGTTTACCTAAGACTCTAGGCTGGAAAATTGATTGAAAGATGTGGAGAGGCATATCCTCTCAAAAGAAGGTCTCCTTCCACAGGAAGCAGGTCCTCACTAACTGGGCCCAAGCATTGGGGACGAGCTGGGTATGTGCCAACCCATATGACCTAAGGACAGCTCTAAAGAAAGGATGAAGAGGTAGATGAAGTCCCCTTTCAAAAGAAACTCATTGACGCTACACACCCCGACCTGGGGAAACAGGCTCGCTCGTAACGAGAAGGAGCTAGAAGTTCAACAGTATAGGGAATGTAGTATTTCTCCCTAATATCTACAAGGTGGGCTGCAGTTATATTTGAAGGAATTTTGGCTACCCTAACCCGCATTATAGTCTATCCAACCCTCCATGATGGGTAAAGCGCTTTGTCCTGCCTTAATGGAATGGACAAGATCGGTGGTGTTGGTGATTGTAACCCCCGTCTCCGAAGCTACTATCTTAATGTCTAGGTCCCTTGTTAGAAGATTAAAAATCCATGAAATTCAACATCAAAGAATGAGTCAAAAATAATTTCGAAATCAAATAAGAAAGTCATCGAAGAAAAATGTGAGAGTTCGTGAAAAATGGTCGGACGAATTTTGACAAGTTAAAGAACAACTCGAGAGTTTTTGGGAGTTTGATTGTTCCCTTTTGTAAAAGCAAAGTAATTTTCACCAAAACTGTAGCCTTTTATAGGCTGAGGTCATCAACCTCAACCGTTGGATATGGATCAGAACCATCCAACGTTCATTTAAGATTTAATCTAAGCCATTGGCCGTCGTTTCGTGTTTTACGATCCAGATCAGAGCGTTTGAATCATATCTAAATATTTAGATCTGGGGGACTATTGTGTTGTAAAAATAACAACCCCAACAAAAAAAATTGATAA